TGGTGCCCTGCCGGGGCTGGGAGCCTCGGAGAGGGATCGTGCCGGGGGATAGACATTAATTTTCTCTGCGGTTACACCTCGTGATTAAGCCGGGGAGGTGTGAGAAGGGTGGGCGGTGAGTCTGCCACCTCCAGAGGCGATGGGTACCCAGGGGAGGCTTTGCTGATGATGCCCTTTCACGCTTGGGCATCCTGGCTCTCAGACACTGGTGCTGCAACAGGACCACACGCGACTAACTGCGTAGATCTGGTACCTCAGGGTCAGGAAAGCACCTGCAGCCCATCAGCTGCAGGCAAGAAGGGACCGCCTTCTGCTGTAAACAGGCAACGTGTGAATTTTCCATCATTGCTTCTCCAGTGTCCTGTAAAACATCTGACGTCAAGGCATTCCATCCCCAAGGCTGTGACAAATGTGGGGCGGTCAGGTATCTCAAGAGGCGCTTTGTCTCACTGGGACACTTTGCACAGCTGTGCAAAAGTAAGAGAGTGTGCTTCTGCTGATGTTTTGCTGATCGTCTTGGGTGCTGGTGGCACAGCAGCCTGAGAGATGGAGAAATGTCTTCTAGTGCTAGCCAGGAGAGTCATCTGGCATGACACCAAGCAGTGGGTAGGACACTGAAACCCCAAGGGGCCTGAGAAAATAAGTCGTACATTTGTCCCACTTCTTCCTGAGGAGCAAAAGCTCTTGGTGAAAGCCGTAGCCCACAGAGATCTTGGGGAGGGGCCCAAGATGGAGATGATTCAAGACGTCCCCTGCCTTAGCATGACCATTGTGGCTGTCTCTATTTGTTCTGCAGAGCACGCACAGTCGCAGAAGAATGAGAAGGTGCGATGTTCAAACCACGATGCAACACACACGCTTGTTCTCTCCCTTGATGGGAAGCTTTCTGAACACTGGGCTACAGCTTCAGCTGGCTGCTCTAAGACAAGGTAAGAAGGTTTCATGGGGTGCAGGTACGGTAACGGTCAGGGAAGATGGCCCACTTTTCCTAAAGGTAGCATCCAAGAGACTGAGGGATGTCGAGACTGTAGACTGTTGTAAAGAGGGAACTGGAACACATTTGTTCCTAGTACCCAAAACTTTAACTTCTTTTGTTATCCAGCAAGAAGTGCACTGATTTTAAGGATAATACCAAGATCTGAGCCGCTTCAGATGCACGTGAGATGGGCTTCTCTCAAATTTAGCAAGGATTGGTAGTGTATACTGGAGTAATGCAGATGACTTGCAAAGCACATGTGGCTCAGGAAAGCTGCGGGTGAAAGACCCAAGCACACCTGAACCTTGCCACCTTCCGATTAAGCTGTGAGGGTAACCGTCACCTAAAAATGTCACAGCAGTTTGCTGTGGGATTTTCTGTTAACTTGCCCAGGGCTGAGCCTGATTCTCTTCCAGCTTCCCATGGTACAAACCACAACCAACTCCGTTAGCGCAGCTGCAGTAGGCTAGCGTAAGAGCGGGGTGAATCAGCTAAGGTGACCTATATTTTTCCAAATAATTCCCGCTAACCGTGCTAGCACTTGGTGAGCAGAGGATCTTCTTCCTCTACTTTGTCTCATGGTACAGCATTTATCTATTTTGATTTGTTTGCTGTTGTTTTTTTTTTCTCCTTATTTTTGTAGGCTGGTGAAAGAACTAGGAAACCAAGATATTGTTCAAATAGCATGTGGGGACCAGCACGCCATGGCACTCTCCAGAGGTAGCCTCTTTCAAGCACAGTTTTCCTCCAAATGGTAGTCACATTCTTGGCAGGCTTGCTCTCAGAAGGGAGTGTTCGAACTACTTCCAGTAGTTGGTGACACCATTGGAGAGTAACGAGCGGTGGGTAGGGGACACAAAGTGCGCTGGCTGTCAGCGCTGCCCTTTCCTCCCAGCACCCAGGGGCCTGCAGCTCTGTCTCTTTGCAGTTCCTGCGCACTACCCCTCCACAAAGGTGTGTAGTGGAGAGCAGATGTGGCCACCCTACTCTACAGTCACCAGACCTGCTCATTCTTAAGTTGGAGCACTTCTCTGGTTGGGAACTTCTTGCAAGTATGGCTGGAGCACTTCTCTGGCTGGGAACTTCTTGCAAGTATGGCTTTAGAGGTGGAAACACCCTGCCTTTATTCTTGCTGTGCTGAGTCACACGGGCAGCATGGGAGACCCCCAAAGGAGTCAGAAGCAAACAGGGAGATTTGGCTACAGATGGTGGCCTCACCTTGGAGCTAGGTCCCTGAAAACAGCACTGATTTTCGCTCCCACTCCCAAAGTGCAAAGACTCAAGACAAGCAGTGAGGCTGAGCTGTTTTCTTTTGTTCTGTGTGTGAAGGAGGTAAGCTTTTCACCTGGGGCCAGAACACCCATGGACAGCTTGGAGTGGGGAGCCAAACCACGCTCATCCCCCAACCACAGTTGGTGCAAAGACTAAAGGGCATCTCACTTGCTCAAATTGCTGCTGGAGGAGCTCACGGTGCTGCCGTGTCGCTCTCGGGAGCTGTGTACTCTTGGGGAAAGAACGATTTTGGACAGCTGGGTCTCGGAGACACAGAAGGTAAGGAAGCACAGCAGTTTGAGAGGAAAGCGGTAGGAAGATATTTTCTTGGTCAGTGAACTTACTGCAGACACCTGACTGGCTCAGGATTGTCAAGCCCCTTTGGAGCAGCAGTGGAGAGAAAAGTCTTTTGAAGAATGGGTATCTGGATAAGTTCTTTCTTTCCGAGCTGTTGTCTCCTGACCATAGGAAAGGCATGCAGGGACAAGGCATTTAGGGGTTGTATTTCTAAGAGAACTTCTAATCATTTTATGTGGCCAACTGGATCATGTTGGCTCATCAAACCATATGTCTCAGAGGTCTCTTTCCACTCCCGTTCTCTCTCCAGGCAGTCTTGCATGAAAGAAATTAATTTTATATCACTTTGCCTTCTTTAATTCCCTGTAAACACAAGGTGAGAGAAGAATTAAAATCACCTGTTGTCTTCAAACCCGGAAGGCTAGAGCAGAGTTGCCCTAGCCAGACAGAACCTGAAGTCAGCGGGATCTGAATGCGTCCACACCCTTGAGAGTCAAATATTTTGAAGCCAAGTACCTTTTTTTCAACCAGATGTGAAAGTGCTGTGGTTTTTTTCACATCTAATATAAACGAAAAGAAAATACTATGAAAAAGACAGAACATTATGAGAAAGAGTATGTTATAATGGAGGGTAGAAAACAACTCAAACCCAAGTTGTAAATATGTGAATTGCTGTCAGAGAGGACTGAAAAGTGCTAAAAGCCTGTTTTCTAAACCTTTATTTCTGTGAGACCCCTTGGTACTCTTTCACTTCAGCAGTGCTGTCTTCTTTCCAGACAGGGACTGCCCGTCGTACATTGGAGCATTAGAGCACTGGAAGGCTGTATTTATCTCATGTGGGGCAGACCATACCGCAGTGCTTTCCAAGGTGAGTCTGAAATGGAAAGTCAGCATCTGAGACCTTACTCTGCGAGAAAAGATACACTGCTAAAAGCCAACATGGAGAAATTGAGATGGCAATGCCTGCTTCTATCCCAGTCTGAGGACGATCCCCAAGGATGCTAACTAAGCTTGTGGGAAAAGTGGCCTTTGCTCAGATTCCTGTCACCTGCACGCAAACTTTCGCAGGGAGATGGTGAATGGGAATCCTGGGGCAAAGAGGTGCAGTTCAACTCTCAGTACCTTTTGAAAATATTTTCTTTTTTGTAGCGTATTGGGGACTTCAGAAAATTCACTAGGGTTTACTCATACAAGTAAAATTCTTAAGCAACAGGGAGTTACTCTCAGGAGTGAAATTGCTTTTCTCAGGAGTTAAATGATTTGGGCACTGGACAATGTAAGATTAGGCTTGATGCAAAGTGAACTCTACCTGTGTTTGAATCAGGGATGTTTTGAATCGTCCCGTATAACATATTGTGTCTTGCCGGCTCTCACTCTCGGTAGTGACCATTTGTTGGTAATGAAGTGATGCTGTTGTTTGTTTCTTCATCATCAAGGAGGGGTTGGTGTGCACCTTTGGAGCAGGAGGGGCTGGCCAGCTTGGTCACAACTCCACCCGGAACGAACTCACGCCTCGTCTGGTGGCCGAGCTGTGGGGAGCAAGAGTTTCACAGGTTGCCTGCGGCAGGTGGGAAAGTACCAATGCCTTCTGAAGTCAAAGTCTTAGGGGAATCACTGAGGAGCAGCAGGGAGGGGAGTCACCAAGGTGTTCAAATCCCTGTATCCCAGTAGGTTAGCACTGTCAGAATATTGTCCACTCTTCAAGGGTAAGCCACCCTCCTGCCACAGCCCCAGTGAAAGCAGAACTCTCAGGCCAGGCTGAGAAGAGGGAGAGGGCTACAAAATCCACCAGAAGCCCTTGGTTTTTTCCTCTTTTAAGAAATGAAGGGCGTACTGGGTTCCGAAGGGCAAAAGACTGTCAAAAGCCTGCACTGGGAAAGACACCAAATTCCCATCCGCTTTGACGAACCGCTGAGTCCTTAGAAAGAACTGAAGAGTGGTGATAATTATCCAACTTCATTCTGCCTTTCTGGAACTGGGACAGAAAAAGATTCCTGTCAACTTTCCCGGGCTTTGTATCAGGCTCAGCAGCACAGAAGCTGCGCTTTTAGAAATGGAAGGGTGTGAAGCTAGCAAGGCACAGCGCTTGATTTTTGTACGTGGAACCAGGGTGAATCACAAATGTTAGGGGACAGGATAGGAAATTTGAGCCCATATGTTTCCTTATTGCTGAATGTTTATGCAAGGAAGGGTCCTAAGGCTTTGTTAGAGGGACTGTCAGGACTTTTAAAGATGAGCCTCAGCTATCCACTCTGAAAATGTATCTGTACATTTTATTCTGACTAGCCTAGTGATATTAGCTTATTATGACCATTTTTCTTTTTCTGAACAGACAGCACACCCTGGTCTATGTCCCCTCCTTGGACAAAGTCTATTTGTTTGGTTGTGGTGAAGAAGGACAGCTGGGAGACGAGAGAAAGCCTAATCAGTTAATACCACTTCCCATTGATTTGCCAGTGAATACTGGAAAATCCTGTCGGGGTAATGACCATTGCAGATGTGTACAATCTACACTTGTTTCTTCCAGGGAGATGTTTCCTTTCTTGATCTCACATTTACACTGAGAGGCTAACATTATGTCTCATGCTTGCTTGGTCATCCCAACAGATTCTACAATGGATAATTCCATTTGCTGCTTGATTTAGCATCATGGGTAATGGCCACATAGAATCAACTTTTAGACAGACAGCTATTATCTGAGGGTTTTTTTACTGTTAAACATCTGTGTACTGAACTCTGAAGATAATGACTGTCTCTTCAAATGGTCCTTTGAAAATCTTTTTATTCTTTCACAGAAAACAACACATCACAAAACGTGATTGAAATTATTGCAGGAGGAAACCAAAATGTCCTTTGCAAGAAGAACAAGGTATGTGCATATTTGATCAGGGCTTCTGGTTTTACCATTGTTCACATTACTGCCAGAAACATTTGGATTTTCCATCCTGCTTTTAGTGCTCCAAGTTCATATATGTCTCTTTCAGCTCTTTCCATGCTTACCCAGAAACTAACTTGTATTGCAGTTATATATATACGTTCTGTGCTTAATGCATCTGGATCATGCTGAATGACCATTAACTTGTTCATACTTAGGCTGAAATCTTCTTGTAGTGATTGGCTTGAAAAAAAGAATCCCGTTTGCTCGACCTGTAATCTTGTCAATATTTTCATGTATTTCACACAGAATTCCTGTTTGAATGGAATTGCTACTCTGAAGGATGAAGATGTGGATGCATGGATTTCTAATTCCAGTTTGCAACACTGGAAGAGTGTAAAAAAGTAAGTCAGAAACCTGCTGGTTTTTTTTTTTCCCCCGATACATGATTTTCTCTAAAAATTGTTACTCTTTGGACACTATTGTAGGAACTGATGTTCAAGAATTCAGCTGAGACAGAATCTCATACCAGCACTTCTTACTTAGGTTTTGCCAAGGAAAAAGATATGTTGATAAGCAACAGCCCTTCGCTAACCCTTTTGCAGGAGCAGAGCAGACGAACTGCCTGGCTTCGGCAGCCTGTCCTCCTCTTCTTGCGCAGAATGGTTGTTAAGTTGATGAAGAGCTGACAGGTTAAATCAGTGAAAGCTTCGGTCTGCAGACTGAGGCCTTGTGCAAAAATCGTAAGCCAGAGCACCCAAACTGGAATGTTTTGTGTGTGCCAGCATTTAAAAATTAGGGATCCCTTCTTCAATTACCCATTTTCAAAAGCAGTAAGTACATACTACTGTGGGAAGCCTTACAGTTATGGCTGAGAATTTTGATTACACAGTCTTTTTTCGGATTTTACGTGGGAGGTTATTATCTTTGGGAAAGTCTGACTTCAGCTGCTGATTTTTAGCATTTAAAAATCTTTGCTGATTTGGATCTAAGTGTTTCCCTGACCACTTTTGGTGTGCTTTGGATCATATGGAAAATGGTTGTTGAGAGGACGAGAGAGAAAGGGTTCTTTCCAGATCTCAACAGGAAGAGCCTGACAGCAAATCGCGTGATAAAATAGCTGCTTTAGTAAGTAGAGAGCCGGGAATACAGGTAGTGAGTAAGTCTAACGTCCTTGCAGATGCCAGGAACACAGCAGCAAATGGATCCCCGGATGGACTTTCCCTCTGGACTTTCCTTCAGCACGGAGGGGTTCCTCCTCCCTCCCATGCTGCAGGGCCTTGTATTTTGCATAACAAACGAAACCGGGTAACCTCCCTGGTTAATAAAGTAATAAAGTACTGCTAAGAAAAGTTTTATGTGCTCAGGTGCAGCCACGCTTGGACACACGGTTTTTGTTCTTTCAGAATTAAAACCCTGAAGTTGCTACTCATGTTGAAAGGATTGACTTTGGTTTGTTTTTTACTATATCAGGAATATTGAACTGATCTTTTCATCTGAGGCTTGCATCAATGGAAGCTTCCTGGAGAAAAGGTAGTGTGCGCTGACTTAGACGTAACAGAATACTTGGGCTGCATGTAACCTGACCAGAAAGTGTTATTGAGTGTGTAGAGAAGATTAGTCATATCCAAATTTGCAAGAAGCAAGTCTGTATTTTTCACACCCAAAGCTATAATTAATTTTTTTATCCCCCCCAGTCCTACTGAAATTTGCTATACAAGCTCACATTCTAGCAGATTGTCCCATAGTGACATTTGACAGATGATGGTAATCCCTTTAGGCATTATTACAGATCCCAAAGGATCCATAATGGCTCCTCCCAGCACTGAAGTGCAAGTTGTTTTAGGGTGAAATACAGGAAGCTTACCATTAGCAGTGCGCAGCTACACAAGACAGGAAGGATAGAATATTATTCTCACACCACAGTGAGAATATCTTCTTAGAACAGATAAAATTATACCCACTGGAGTCAGGGCTGAACTTTCCAAGTATTTTCTGACATTAGGATGCTTCCCTACTCAGTCAGTAACAAAAACCAGCTTCTCACGTCATTTGGTGTGTTTTTTTTTCCTTTGTGATAGGGACAAACATTTCAAAACTTCCAAAGAAGTCTCAGGTGTAGACATGTCAGAAGTGCAACGTTTTTATGGGAAGATCAGAAAGAAGCCAAAAGTCTTTCAGGAGGTAAGGATTCGATGTAAGCATTCTCACTACATAGACACTGAGGAGCTCTGGATTTGTGCATGAAACTTAGGAATTTCGTGCCAACCTAATGATTTTGGCAAAACCTCATTGCATTTTTAACCCTTGTCTCTTATTTTTCCTTCTGAAGGTGCAAAAGGAGATTGAGAAGTTACTGCCCTCATTGTCTTCCTCTCCCATCTCACCTGAAAATTTCAGAGTCTACTTGATCTTGCCTTTCCTTCTGCAGGAAGAGGATGACAGCTCTTACCGTTCTCTCAGGCTGCTAGCACATGCCATCATGAAGCTCCAGCCAAAGGATCTGCAAACTCTTGGTAGGGTTCTATGATGGTCGAACCGAATGATTTAAATTCTTGGTCATTTTCAGCTGTGGTGCAAGAGTTAGTATTGCCGATGTAATTTATTCCAGAGCTCAGTCTGAAAAAAATGCTTTCAGTAGAAGTAGAAACATGGGGACTACACAGCAAGACACAAGAAAAAAAAATTCTCAGTCTGAGGTTTAATAATTTTTGTAGTGTGAAATTAAGCATTTATTTGGTTTAGTTCATTTGATAAAAAGAGAAAATGCATCCTCATGCAGAAATTGCAGTTATTTGCACGTTACCTGTGATGGATACTTCACTAGCTGTTTTCTTTACAGAATGCCTGTGGTCAAATCTAGAAACATCCTTTTTCAAGAAGCTGGTCATTCTGTATCAGAGGGTTTCCCAGAAAAACCTATCTCAATTTATCATGGAAGTCAGAGGTTGTCAAAGAAACCTCTACAACCTGCATCCACATGAAACAGAGACTCTGGAAATACTGCAGATTCTTTACCAGGTAAGAAAGTGTTTGGATCCTGATTAGGTAGGACGTATCGGTACAAGTTACTAAGTGTTTTAACCCTTTTTATTTGTTAAATTATCTGAGTTTCCTTCTTACAAGGGAACATGGGGCCTCATCATTTGACAGTGCTTCAGGAACCTCTTTGGCGTAGAGCCAGCGGAGCTTTGAAGGAATCCTGCTCTTGAGTTGTGCCTGGCTGACCCTCTACAGAAGTGAAGAGCTGAAGCATGTTATCACCCCCGGCGGGGGGCAAGGGGAGGGATGCTTTCAGTGGTGTGTGGAGTGCATGCACTGATGAGCACAGAGCTGTGGATGTGCTGTCCTTTAGGTAGCGTGCCCATTCCCCTTTCTGCTAGTGAGGTCTCTCAGCCCAGTAACTGCTCGCAGCATTTAAAAGACAACCCCCCTGCCTGGCACATCGTGGCTGCTACAGCAACACTACGTCATGGTTTAACAGCCTGTTGCCTGAGAAATTGTCTCGGTCAATGGGATTAGAAAGTCTTCAGCTGCATATGAACAAGGGGAAGAAAGGGGGCAATAACTCTCCTCTTCTTGACAACCATCCTTTCTCCTCATGAGGTGTTCAAAGTTTAGGAAAGTCCAGAGCTCAAGCATACGCTTAGTATCAATCACAGTCATCAAATCTTGTTCAGAATTGAATATCCTTTTTGGCTGAGAATGCAGATTTGGGCCTTGAAGTTTAGACTCTTGAATCTGTATTTATCCGCTGGGTGAAACTCAAAAGTGTGGCAGGCCTCCTCCTCCATAAGCGGTTACATCATCTGGAGCTTTACATGCTCACTGTCGCCTCCCAAATCGTATCTTTGCCAGGCAACAAGTATGAACGTGAATAGGGAACTTCAGATTCTCCTGCAACATGAAAGACACTCAAAGCGAAATGTACCTCTCCTGATGGAGTCCTGTTAAGGGGTCTTCACTGCAAATGGAAACGGCTTTCCTGCTAGTTTATACATGGCTTTCTGAGACTTCTCACTGTTGAGTGCTGTGCTACTTGTAGCCTTTCTATCCTTCCACTTCTGTGCAGACTCCCAGCGCTCTTTCTGCAGAGAGCCCTGTTACTCCTCAGTCCTGTCCTGTCACACAGACGCATAGTTCACTAGATCTGCTGACATCCCTTTTCGTATTTTGTGTATCAACGCAGGTGAACTCCAGAACTGGTTTCAGGGTACAAGAAAACAACTTCTATGTGCCTCAAGTGAAAGCGTTTACCAACGTGTGTAGGCTCTTTAATGTAGAATTAGTAAGTATAAAATCTTACCAGCAGTGCAAAACACCTTTTTTTTTCTGTTTTATTTAAATGAGTCAATACATACAAAAGTCAACTCTAGACACTAGCCCAGTACATCTCAAAGAGAATGCATTTTCCCTAGTCCTCCAGCTGTTCTAAATTATGCAAGCCACTTACAATCCCAGTATTTTATCAGCTACAATAGTGCCTTTCCGGAGATGACCCCTGGTTCGGAGAGTTGGAGCTGTCCTCCAGCATCTTCAGGAGCTCTATTTGCTTTGAACTGGTGATCAGTGTGAAATAGCACCATGAGGGATGCTTGCTATACTTCTTGTTGCTCTGGATTTTATGATGTTTAATTAACAGAAATATTGTGAGGTCTCTTTAAACTTTCATACAGAAACTCTATTGAGCGTTTCAATTTACTTACATCTAAAAACAAAGCCATGGGAATAAAAAATACTATGTGAGATGGTTCATTTCTTGATGACACAAAGGAGTGAAAATTAGCTACCAAATGCAACCGGTGTCACAGGAAGCAGCATGAAACAGAAATGTGGGTAGTAGGGGCTTCCTTAGGCCAAAAATGCAGTTTTCTGGCAACTTGGCTGGAATTCGCAGGGCAACTGCCTAATTCTTTCATAAGCTTTTGTTTCCTAATGAACCAATTTTGTACCAATTAACCAGAATGGAGGAGGAGGTTTGAGAAACAGTATAGAATCAAAAACCAAACAGGATACTACCTGAAGTTGCTGCCTTATCATACTCGAGGTGTAATACTTTGAATTAGATTACTTTGTGTACCAGCATCTATTTCTGGTATTACAGATAATAAACCCAACAGTTTTTAACAACAGTGTACCATAACGGGGTATCTAGGACGTTTTTGCTATGTGTTTTGGTTTAGCTGAATTATGGAAGAGGCTATTAAAATCACTATGCCTCTGTTTTATTCTTGGGGCACTGTAACACGGTGTCTGCCTGCACAGACAGTTCAGATGCCTCTCTGTCAGGGTTTCCCACTCACAGAAGTGTTTAGGAGCTGCTTTTAGAAAGCGTGCCTGTGTTGGCGTAGTGTTCATGTACACAAGGGCATGTTTCAGAGATACGAGAGTTTGCCAGGGTACAGACTGGCAGTTCGGTCTGCACGTGTATCCCCGAGTTCTGATTTTGCAAGAGAAAATCAACACGTCTTTTTCCTTCTTCCTTTTTATTTCAGATAGCCCTATGGAAGCTGACTGAGTATCCATGCATCTTTGACATGCAAGACAAGATTGTCATTCATTATACAGAATGCAACGCTCTGTCCAGCCTCTTTATTGATGTAAGTGTGGCCAATTTTTTTTTACAATTTGGAAGAGATAAACACACTGCTAACACAGTTACTTCACTCTTCAGGTAGGCTTAACGCCAATGGGCCAGGAACGCTGGATTTTTCCAGGACAGGAATGCTGGGTTTTTCCAGTCAGAAGACAGTGCCTTCTGCAAGACATATGGACCCATTTAAATGATGCACCAACCCAGCAGTTCAGGAAGATCTTAAAGGTAAGATACCAAATTGTATTATTTGTTAGCTCTGAATATATTGCTGCAGTGTTCTTTGATTTTCAGTGTTACTGAAACATTGGTAGAAGGGTGTCAGTATTCACTGAGCATACAACAAAACAGCTACTCGTCAAATTAGTATTAAAACGTGTTCCAAGGGGGATGTAGAGTAAATCTGGAGGGCAGTGTCTTATACTCTGATTCCAGGTAGCTGTCGAGCTTTGCTGGCATAAGTTAAATGCATGTTATTTACTGTGAGGTTGCTTTGGGGTAATGTAATAGGGTTGCTCAGGAAACCGGTAATTGGCGAAGTCCGTTACTATTACTGCTAGACAGACTGTTCAAAGACCCTAGGCTAGTTTGCTGTACATGAAAAACCTGGTGGCTGGGGAGCCAGCACTAGAGGCCGGCAAGTGACACAGCCACAAAGGCATTTCTCTCATGGAGATGCTGCCTAAAGGGAAAGGAAGGAGAGCAAGAGAGATGAAAAGCTGATTATAATGCTGCTGCCTCCGTGTGGCTTTAGTCTGTGGTTTCCACACAACCCAAAGTTTCTGCCAGCCGTATTTTCTTCAGGTGTCACAATGGTAGCCCTGCCCTGCAAAAGCCATTAGATGGCTGATGTGGGAACAGGGCACCTGCCCAGAGCGGAGCTCAGCTCAGGGACCACGTGCAGCATCAGTCACCAACGCAAGAGCCGTCAGAGCCTGGCACCACGCCCGCGCAGCAGGAACTACTGACCTCAGTGCCCTGTTACCTGGTTCTGGTTCTTTCCAGGCGAGCCTTCTTGCCAGCCAGAGCTGTCAGAGCTTTTCTTTCCTATACACTTAGGAGAACATTTACAAATGGCTCCTAGAGCTACCTTTCCTTCTCTTACCTTCCTCACTACATCAGCTGAAAGAGGCATTTATTTACGGTGGCAATAAGGCTTGTGCTAGATCATGAGTCTCTCTCCACTCATTGCAGGAGCCCCAACAAACAGCTGCACTGAGCTAGAGCCAGCCTTCCTATGCACCTCTTGTGGGCGCTGCCTTTCCTGCTGTGCATCACAGCGTTATTTGCCTAGCAGCAGCCTGATCCATTTGACTACATTATTAGTATCCCACCAAGGTCTGCAGTATTTACAACTTGGTGCTGCATTTCTGATTTTTTCAGCAGGTAAAGGACATTCATGTGGTTGTGTTGCAGATATGAACCACCCAGTAACAAAACATTAAAAAAGGAAACGCTTGTAGTAGATTATCGTAGCATCAACCTGTTGCCCTTCATAGCTGTGTCCTGTTAAGGTGTTTTGTCAGACAGTACCGAGAACTTTGCATGTGACAGTCTCATAGTGGTCTGTCACTGCATCCTCTAGCGTTGCTGTAAATGAAAACAGGGAAGGTTGAAGTATTTAGCAGAAGTATCTTCTGTTCCCTCTGTACTGAGGCGGGGACAGTGCTAAGGGGAAAGATACTCTGTGTACTTAAACAGCTTTTGTAGCTGGCTTGGCTACTATACTAACTCAGTTGGAGTTACTGTTCCTCTAACCTGTCAGGAGATGCCTCCTGAACGAAGATGACCCAGCCTGGCTATCAAACTTGGGCACTCAGACACATTTAACAAATAGTACAGGGACATACATCTCCTAAGCAGACACTGGAATATGTTGGAGGCCACTCTAACAAAACCCTGAAACACACAAGTACATCTTTTCTGCAGCGCTGTGATTTCCCCATCTTTTTCTAAAAAAAAAAAAAAAAAAAAAAGCAAGCAAGTAGCTACTGGACAGAGAAGGGTATCTTCCAAGTAAATTTCTTCATTTAACTTGTTTTGTTATTAAACATCAGCCTGATTTATTTTATGTTCTTCTGACAGTGAGACAAATACGTTTCAACACACACATCAGTTCAAAACAAAACCAAAGCTCGTAATTCAAAGAGAGATTCATATTGCTGCATATTGTCATTGCTTATTGTTTAACATCAGTTATTTCAGCCAAGGTGCAGTTCTTCCTCGTAAAAATGATCACCACCTAGAAGATTTTCATTAGTGCCACTACAAATGCACAACACTCTTGAACGGATACACTAGAAGGAATTAGTGCTTCTTGTTATTTCTCCTCTTTACCTGCCTTACCAGTAGTTAGGCTACTGCAGAGGACTTCATACAGTTCCAGGTACCACTAAGAAAATTACATCAGTCACTAGTGCCAGAAGGGAACTCTCTGAAATCAACTGCAATACCTGATGAGACTAAATAAACTGCATTGCTTTAGAGAAGCCCAGGGGTTAGCAAAGGCCTCACACTAGTTGTGCCTAAAAAGCTTAATCCCCATCCAGGTCCACAGGTGGAAGAACACATAAACCGGTATTGTCATAGGAAGGAGGAGACTGTAGAAACACAAGCTGTTTGTGCTGGTGCAGCCCTGTGGGAAGGTTTCATCTACGCTGGCTGAGTAAAACAAGCCTGCTAGGGACAGGAGGGGAACAAGCACAGTCAGTGTGGGCAGGGAGGGGAGCATGCCTCTGCCAGCCATCGGCCCCAGTTTACTGCTCTGGAGGGTGGGTCCTCAGGGCTGCTTCGAGCCCTCCGCTGGGGGCTTCTTCTGAGTCGTCCTAGCAGCCTCTGGGATCATGTTCGGGATGCCATCGATGATGGGGTATGCAATGCCCAGCTCTTCGTTAATGAGCTCGTTGGTAGTTTCTTCATACCTGCCCAGGCAAGACAGGGAAAGAAAAAAAAAACCAACAAACCAAACAAAAGGAGTGAATGACCTGGGTTTGCCCTTTGGCAGCCCCTCTCG